TGCCTGTAAATTTTGGACTTAATTCCCAGTAACTAAATAAATGTTGTTCATCAATGATGGATAATAAATAGTCGAGACTGTAATAGTGAGAATTGTTTGGTAAAATATTCCCTTCCAGCTCCAGTTAACACGTCGTTTCCGTTGACAAGGAGAAGTATTCGAATGCCTTCTTAATACATATACCTTAATGGCTTTTTCTAGCTTCATCTTTTTCTACATGCAATATGCATCCTCTTTTATAATCTGCTCAATTTTTAGGCGTTTTATAGTTCACAGCATCCGCGACATATTGGTTCTGAAAATATGTGCCCATAGCTTCCTATAAAGTCTATAAAGCGCGAGGACATCTCTTTGTTGTTGATCACTTTTAGTTTTCGACCTCTTGACGCGACCTTAGAGCATCAATGGCATTTAAGCTACGGATACACGGGCATCATTTTTCTGGCGTAATCGTTGCGAGAGGTAAATTGCTTGTGTATCCTACCCTGCAATGGCAACGCAAAGCTTCTCGCAATCGTTGCCGAAATTCCATGCCAAACCATTGGATTTTGGGCAACGATTGCAGAACTTTGGAAGGTGTCACGCAATAGAAAGCGTAATATTGAAACGTGCGCCTACGCTTTATTGTCCATTTTTGTCTCTCATTCCCAAAAGTATTGCAGGTGTATTGCAATGCAATACTTTTTCAGCCATTGCGTACCATCACAGCAAAAATATTCCTCGTGTATCCCAAGCTTATATAAGTAACAGATGGTTTTCCTGATATGGATATGTCATCACCTTTAATGAGGAGGTATGCCTGGTATTTCCCTACCAATTTTAATTAATGGTGCATTTAAGCATTATGGGCTTGATTGTGTTGGCAATAAGCTAAACGCGCTTATTTAACAGGCGAAACTCGCTACATGCGCTTATTTTGAGTGGCAAAGGGTCACGCTGCGCTTGAAAGACCGAAACTGCAGCGGAAACAATCGCGCGTTGCTTAAAGTACCATTTTTAATCACATTTAGCTTATAATTCCTGCAGTCCGAAATAAATTGACAGTCCGGAAAATTTCCGACTCGCGTTTCAGGTGAATATGATGTTTGTCAGAGTAACATCACAAACATCATATTCACCTGGGTACATAACACCAACACACACAAAATAATAATAATCTTTGCTGGATGAAACGCGTAGCTCGCCTCTGCACACTCTCCAATAGTTTTAAGTCCGTTTTGCATGATTTGGACAGGAAGACAAAAAAATATATATTTGAGTACACCGATTAAAAATTAAGAATGTGGCTAAAATGTGGAGAAATTTACAAAAAAAATAGGGGGAAAATGGAACGAAGAACGATGGTTAAACACAAAAGAAATTTTTTGACGTTGTGCCTACTGTGAAGCAAAATAAAGAAAGGCAAAATATGCTAGTAGATATTTTGATGGGTTTTTTTACCTTTGTCGGAAGAGAAGGTAACATTACTAATTCATTGCTGATGTTCAGTTTCCAATGCAGGCTTATTCTTTAACGTGACCCATGTTAAGCCATCCAGTTATTCTCTTGGGATCGGTTTAGTTAGGAGACTTAATATGATGATGGTTGCCACAGTCACAACAAACAGAATGATTCCTAGAGAAGAAAAATAAAGCCTCCGTCATCAGATACCTTACGATTGGCGAAGCTAACCATGGCAATGGCAACTGGTCATGCTATGCATGCTAATAAACCTGCATCTACAATACATTTCTAAAGTATCATGATTTCTCTGAACGTGTTCCAAACTAAATTGGGATTTTCCAAAGTACGCGATTTCGCGTGTTTGTTTTAAATTATGCGGAATTTCTCTTTTTTTCCGCAAAATCTTGACAGTTTCCTAAAATATGTATAAAATAAAAAAAATTTGCTCAAAAATTGACCTAAAAACCAAGCAATGCGGATTTTTTTCCTACACTACTCTCGCAAAATCCAGTTAAAAATATTAATTTGTTAACGTATATTTCATATTTTAAAGTAAATTTTGCGTCCAATTACAACTATCCGCAGAAAACAGGAAATCAGCCAGAAAAAGTTGACTTCACAGCGCAAATATCGGTTTGGTGGTTGCAATATGCGGAATATTTGTATTCCACTATTTTTCCGCAAAGACGTGATAAAAACAAGGTTTTAGGCAATTTCGGTTGGATAACAGAATATTGATCGCTGGAAGCTATGAAAAGGTTCAGAATTTCTGAACCTTGAAAATCTGAAATCAATGAATATAAGCGTAATATTAACGGCGAAGAAAGCTACAAGGGGTTCAGAATTTCTGAACCCTGAAATCAATGAATATAAGCGGAATATTTACAGCGAATAAAGCTACAAGGGGTTCAGAATTTCTGAACACTGAATATCTGAAATAAAGGAGTATAAGCGGAATATTTACAGCAAAGAAAGCTACAAGAGGTTCAGAATTTCTGAACCCTGAAATCAATGAATATAAGCGGAATATTTACAGCAAAGAAAGCTACAAGAGGTTCAGAATTTCTGAACCCTGAAAATCTGAAATCAATAAATATAAGCGGAATATTTACAGCGAAAAAAGCTACAAGGGGTTCAGAATTTCTGAACCCTGAAAATCTGAAATCAATGAATATAAGCGGAATATTTACAGCGAAGGAAGCTACAAGGGGTTCAGAATTTCTGAACCCTGAAAATCTGAAATCAATGAATATAAGCGGAATATTTACAGCGAAAAAAGCTACAAGGGGTTCAGAATTTCTGAACTCTGAAAATCTGAAATCAATGAATATAAGCGGAATATTTACAGCGAAGAAAGCTACAAGGGGTTCAGAATTTCCGAACCCTGAAAATCTGAAATCATAATGAACATAAACGGAATATTTACAGTAAAGAAAGCTAAATGATACCCCGAAAATCTGAAATCAATTAATATTAACGGAATATTTCATTACGGTGAAGAAATTAAAGCTAAATGGGGTTTAAAGGCGAGCTGTGATTGCAACCCTGTATTCACTGAGCTGGAGAGTGAAAGCAAAGTGAATATAGGTTAAAGCCTTGTAATCAACTTGCCTTCAGCAACTAAGTGTTTTCAGTTGGTATAAATTTTAAAAAAAATGGAAAAAAGCATTCGAAACATATTACAATAATTCCAAAACTTTTAAAAAGACATCCAGGGGACTTCAATCCTTGTCAATCAGATGGCAGGAAATTTAATAGTCACCTAATTATTCATTTAATAGTAAGTTTACATTTGGATGCAAATAAATCAGTATCTTATCATACATTAATCATTATGGATATCGAGATATCACAGGATAGCAGTACTAGATTTTAGATACTAAATATCATGAGATTAGTATCCAACAAAATACTTAGAAAATATTGAAAATAGCTAGAAAATATTGAGGTATAACATTGCATTTGTCTGGCAAAAATTCCATCATTTTGTTTGCATTTTCAGTGAGTTTCATTTGCAGCTATAATTACATTGCCTAATTCAGGTGTTCCTTGCATGTGCAAAATACTGTACGAGTCTACAGTATGTCCTTTCTGCTGTTTTATACCATTGATTTGAAAGCAGCTTTAATTAAACCATTAAGCTGCAAGATATTTAGAGTCTAACCCTTGACAAGTTGTTATTCGCCTGGTGGTAAAAATTGAGCCTTGCGCAGTGGGGCACTTTGCCACTTAATGGGTTAATTAAAGATAAGGAGATTAATGTTTATCCAAAGGTGTTTGGAAGATTTGATACTACAGCAGCTTTCAGACCTGCATATATGTAGCAGATTGAAAAGTCTGGTATCCCTCATGGATCCTGCTAAAAAAGTTAAATTTCATGCCCGGTTAAATAACCTTATGTTCGTGCACGTTCCTCTTGGTACCAACGTTTTAAATATTTCCTGGTATTCTCCAGAAGTTTATTTTCACTATCTAGGTGAAAATCACATATGATAATGGATTGTTTTGGCAAAACATCACTCCAAGGAGTAATCTCCCTACCATTTTTTAGCAGATGAGGTTCCCATGGCTTTGCGTATGAACCTTTCCAATAATGAATAGTAAATTCCTCCTCTAACACCTCCACCACTTTTCCAATGACAGGCATTTTCTTGTAGTTGCTTAAATATACTGCAACAAAAACACCAGGAGCCAATGCCATAAGAATATCATCAACCAACTGAATTCCTCTTGTTCTCGGAGGCTGGTAAGCACCAGTATATATCTAATAAAAAAGGCAAAATGTTCCAAAATAATCAGTGGCGCTGTGGGACCCAATTTGTTTTTTCCTTGGGGTGGGGCAAGGGCAGTACTTTTCCGACAAACTGAAAAATTATTCTAGATGACAACATTTTACAACTCCCCCCCCCCCCCACCCCTGTCGACAGCATTTTCAGTGAAAAAGGCTTGTAAGGGGGTCAGAAATTCTGAGCCCCATGTCTCGAGATTTATCATTTTTGCATGATTTTGCGGAATTCTATGTTGCAGGATTCAGATTTTCTGAGTCTTTTTTACAATATTGGGACCTAAAGCTTTTTCAGATTTTCTAAATCTCTTTTAAGGATTGTATTTTATCAGTGAACTTTGATGTGGGATATATTTAAACTAAATAGTGAAATTGTACGGAACGAATTTACTTTTTAAGGTTTTTCCACAAATTCCAGAAATGCGACTTGTCCGCATAATTACGTTTCTTTTTTAAATTCTTGCGGAAAAATGCTACTTTGGAAAATCCCAATTTAGTTTGGAACGCGTTTATTCTTCGCGCCGCCCGTAACCCAGGGCCTGTTCGCAGGCTAACGCATTGCGCACGCTCACTGCTTGCAGTTTGAGCGCTCTGGCATGGTTTTGATGTCCCACATTCGTGAGGCATCAAAGGTAACTGTAAATAGCAGTTACTTTCATCCTGCTCATCAGCACTACACTGATGAGGCCCATACACTGATGAGGCCCATATTTATGTCGTATGTTCCAAACAAGATCACAATTACACAACTTGAACACAAGATCTAGCGAATTATTGGAAATACCTTTATATAGAACAGCGACCGGACAACGTTCTTTTCGCAACCGAGCTTCTTGTTTATGGAACAGTTTGCCAGAATGGCTAAAAGACCATAATCTTAATTTGGAACGTTTTAAAAGCGGGCTACGAAGTTATTTGGTTCAACAATTTCTCGATGAACAGAACTGAATTACATCTTTTACTGACTAAATTTTAAATTAAATAGTATTAATAAGTATTTACCTTAAATATAACTAGCTTGATATTATATATTTTGATGTTAATAGTATATTATATAGTTTTTAGAATATAATTTAATGAAGTAATTACTTTTTATAACTTCTGTATTGAACACTGAAAAACCCTTCTGGGAGTGTTTAACATTAATAATAATAATAATAATAATAAGGCCGAAACGGTACCGTCTGTAGTTCTGAATTACTATATGCAGAGGTGTGGTTTAATTATTAGTATAGACTGTTGTGGTTTTTTGAGGTAAAACGAATATATATATATATATATATATATATATATATATATATATATATATATATATATATATATATATATATTCGTTTTACCTCAAAAAACCACAACAGTCTATACTAATAATTAAACCACACGTCTGCATATAGTAATTCAGAAATGATTCCTATACGGATAAAACTATCCTGCGTAGCAGGCGTTTAGTGTGGGCGGGAGAAGAGAGGGCGTCGTTAAATAAACGCCTGCCCGAATGCCTATGATTAATTTGTTCTTCTCCGAAGAATCTTCGGAAAAGGTTCCCATTGGTCAATCTCGTTAACGGAAGTAATTACGTAACTCAAATGTCAACAATAATTTTGCTCGCGTATATATCGAAAATATGCCGCCTGTTATTGCTTTTCGAGGGAAATCTTATATTTCAAGTATTTTGGCTTCGAAATTCAGTTGAAACCAGAATAGAGAAAGTCTATTATTAATTTGCTACGTGGTGAAGACGCCGGTTATCGCGATTCTTCCTACGGAATACGGAAAATCTGCAAATCAAAGCTTGCCCGAGCGGCAGGGATCGAATATAAATTTCCTTATAGTTGTCTTGTTATTTGTTCACTTTAAAGTATAATTCAAGACCAGATAGTTGAGGCTACATCACTTGGCATTGCAGCTATGACGTTGGATGATGATTTTAAGAATAACATTTCAAAACATGCTCAACTGTTATCATTTTGCAGTTAATTTGCTATACGGCAGAATACGTTAAACAACCGTGGTTCAGGATCCTTTTAAAAGATAAAAGCTCTGTGACTGTGTTGTGACTGTTGTCTAAAATAGCTTCAAAAACTGATTAATAATTCATGAGAAAGAAACACAAAGAAAAATCATAAACGTGTATCTTTATATGTGATAGAGATTTCCCTTAATTGATTTACATAAACTTTAAGTTTGATTTTCTTTACATACACAACGAATTTTTTGAAAACTATTTCGCCAATGAACTTATACTAGATCGATCGTTTTTGAAGCAATTTAAAAAATTCGCAGTGCGTGTTTTAATATCAGACCATCTTTATATCTGATAAAACACTGCTGCTCATGTATTAAATAGTACATAAAATCTCTGCAAATCTCCCTATAGTTGCCGAGCAAAAAGCATGCATGATGCTAAATATAAATCTCGACTATGGTTGGATAATGGGTGAAGGGGCGTTTCTTCAGTTCCCGCCCGTCAGCTAAACGCCTGCTACGCAGGCTAGGATGAAACAGACTGTTGTGGTTTTTTGAGGTAAAACGAAAAACTGTATTACGCTCCCGCTCATGGGGAGAAATCTCAACACAAAGAGCAGCAATGAAGTAGACAATGCTCGCCCAGAATATTTTGAAAATCAAATGCCCCAAATTGGCTAAAAATGCATATGCCATGCAACATTTGCTACATCACTCTATAATCTATACATTTATACACTATCATACTATGAATGAAGATGGGTGCACTTATAGTTGCATTTTTGAGCTCATTGCTACAGAACAGGTAACATTCTTTCTATTGGTTACAATTTCGCCTCAATTTCGCCTTTTTGGTTCGGTGGTCTGATACTTTTGCCACCCCCTGTACATGGGTACCCTGGTTCCAGAGGTTTAAAATAAACCTCTGGTTGAAAGCGGCAATTGATTCATCGAGCCGCGCCGATCAGTTTAAATTACGGTCAGACCCTGACTCTGTCTCCTGATTGGATGATTGTATTAAAGTATCTGATTGGTTATAGATGTTTTATTTGAATCAATCAGAGAGCTTAAATCCAATTATCCAATCAGGAGACAGAGTCAGAATCTGACCCTAATTCAAACTGATTGGCGCGGCTCGATGAATCAATTGCCGCGTTCAACCAGAGGTTTATTTTTCCTCACCCTTCGCAATGAAAATAATAAAAATAAACCTCTGGAACCAGGGTAGTACATGGGGGACCCAAGGGCCTGCTCCAAAGCCGACAGCATATTTATAGAATTTATTAGCTCCGAATGCAAAAAGGATTCTCAAACAAAAAGATGCTCGCGTTTTAAAGCAAAAATTTGAAATGCACTGAACCAATGCAGCAATTCTGAGAACAATGAGATATGGCTGAAGATAAATTGGCAATGTCAATGACTTTGATGTGGAGGCAGTGGATTGTGATGATTGTGTAGTTTTACACGAAAAGAAAGCTAACGTTGTATTAATTGCTCTATAGTATATGGTATTAATTATAGTATTGTTTAAATTAAATATGTATTTTATATATTCACTATTAAGTATTTGATAGTTTTTGGTTTTCCATCCAAATATCTTTGGTACTACAGTATGTCCATTATTCTGTCTTCAAAATATAAAATTGAAGTTTGTTTCGTTCTTTATTACACGCCATAAAGATGAAATACAGCAGTGTACACATAAGTTCATAATCTTGAAAGAATGCCTGGTGTTGCTAAATATCTTCGTACAAAGCCAGAAAATACGCTTTGTCGCAATAATATATGAAACTTGAAAATCGTGTTGCTCATTGTTTACATCAAATCTGAATTCACAATATCACATATCGCAAGAGGCAAACGCCCCGAGTTGAGTCCGATGAGCATACGACCACAGAATATATAATAGAACCAGAAGTCTCACTCGAGCGGAAACATGTCCGATCTTTTATACTGCGCATGCGCGAGCTAAACAAGTATAATGCAACACCACGGAAAACGTCTGCGCATGCGTCAACCTTACCTGTAATAGTATTGCGAACTTGATGAGAAGCTGTTCCGAACGTTTCCGAAGGCTCAAAATGGCGGTAAAAAGGAGTGACTTCATTGTGCGTCTTTACAGCCAGATTTCAAGCGCAAAAATAAACATGTCATTCTAAAAACTAGAAATAAATACAGCCAGAAGGTTCAAGAAATTGTATTGTACAAGAACATGAACTAAAGGTGATTGTTGACAAATTTATCGTCTGAAACATTTTGTTTATCAACTAAGCAATGACAATTTACGAATTTTCGTTTGAGATAGATTTCTTTAAAAAAAACTGTGTCGCCAAATATAAAAAATTTGCGTGTTCAGAATAATCAAACTTTAGGATTTATTCTACAATTTGAGTGGGTTAAAAAGCTTAACTTTTCAAGAGTTTTCTTAACTTTTTAGTTTGAATTTTTGTTTTGAATAATTTTGCAAAAATTTTCGAAGTCGTGTCCGTTAAAATCAACATTTTTTTACATGAATTATATTTCATTCCATACTTTAAATGCCAGGACGCTTTCAATTAATGTCTAGTCTACCCATTTGCTATATTTTCTCGTTTGTTTTACTAATTTTTGACCAATTAATAAGCATGTTTTTGTTTTAGAAATTGATATTCAAATTCCCCGCCATATTTTCATAATTTGGTGCATGCGCAGACGTTTTTCCGCGGTGTTGTTTAATGCAGTGTTGACAATAGAAAATTATATTGGGAAGTTGTCATTTCTATACAGTAAAAACAGCTTTTTTTCAAGAAGTACGAAATGTGACTTCGATTTATCTGTGGAACTATTTGAACAGAAGGTAAAGCAGTAATTTTGTTGTATTTAGAAAGCAAACAGGGTCATATTTTTAAAAAAATAGC